AAACTAGCATTTTTTGTAAGCATAAATGGCAGCAGCAGTTATCTGTAGCACTTCCAGTGAGAATATTTTAATACTTCTGCCAAAATAACTGTATTATGCAAAACTAACAGTGAGGTTTAAAAAATAGCATTGCCATGAATATATATGAAAGATTTGGGATTGGAGTTGTTTTTATCTTCTCTGAAGACACATTTTTCTCTTTGGCTTTTCACTCAGCTTGAAATGTTGGTTTTACTGTTTTTAAGTTATTTGTTTTATTGTTTTTACCGTTTGCTCTTTTATGATTTGGTAGTTCGTTACTTTTATGGTATCTGTTGATTTTATGGTTTTTATGCTTGCTTGTTTGTGTTAGTGTACAGTAATTTGGCCAAAGGTGTTGTTTTTAAAGTGCTTTATAAATAACGTTGTATTGTATTGTATTTAGACTCAAAACCAACGTTGTTCAAACAGCTATCTACAGCAGGTAAGATATTAATTGCCCATAACCTTTGCAAAGAACCCCATTTGAAATGACCTAAACCAGTTTTTTTCAAAGTGTTTATGCTCAGCAGCTGTAAAAATTAGTTGAATATAGTGAATAAAAGTTAAAACATTCTAAAAGTTGATGTTTCTTTACATACTTTGTAGCAATGTTTGTGGGTTTGTGTGGGGGGACCTCAACCAGAAGCTACTGCTGTTTGGGGGATCCATGGCATGGAAAAGTTTGGGAACCCCTGACCTAAACCATTCATTTAGGTGCAAGATATCATGGCTCATTTTGGTGATAAAGCCACCAATGACTGATTATGAGACTCTGCTAGGTTCAGGGTGTGCAGGTTGGACAGCGTTCCAGTAGATGCTGGTGAATTTAATTCTACATGGATTGACAGTAGATCATGTGTGTGGTCGCCTGATTTTGTTGTATTTTCCACACCTGGTTTAGTTTCAGCACCAGGACTTGAGCCATAGTGTTTGGACTGAATCTGGGACATCCTTCCGACAGCACCTGGGCCAATTATCCCTCTTAACCAGCTGGATTTGGGCCAACGGGTCAAATCATTTTGGCATCCAGGCTCAACACCGCTGGGGATTATTAAATGTCATTTTTCGTTGTTTTGAGTAACAGAAACCAAATTCCAGTGGTAGCAGACAGTTTTCCTTTTTACTTACGCATTTATTTGGCAATGTATGACTTGGGTTACACATAAATAAGTGTTTTATGAGGTCCTTGCTCTCCAATTTCTGGCTCGTTTATTTGTGGGTTCAGATGGACGTTTGCCCCAAATTTGACAAAATTCCCTTAAGGCTTCCTGAAAAATCGCATCCTTAAACCTCCGAGAGGAGAATCCTAAACACATCGCCTCAAGCCATAGCTGTCACCTCGCATAAAAATGACACCTGCAGTGTGGACTCGTTCACTTTATTACAATAATGCAGCTTGTTTGAGAGGAAGCCCAAGCAATTTCATTGTATCTTGTTTCGGTGCCGTTATTCCCCGCTGCGAGTGTGCGATTGAAAAGCGTACATTCGCAGCATGGGGCTCCACAGCAGAGCAAAAATGAGCCAGATGAAAAGAGCAAAGGGCGCAGTTGTTACAAGTTATGATGACCTGCAGCCTCCTGGCAGGACGAAAACAAAGCTTTCCTCACAATGCTACATTCAATTCCACAATTAGAGTTGATTTTGTAAGAATAATCCATCTAAATGCGAGCCATTTCTATTTATTTAACCTACTCTAATGCGCTACAGGCTGACTGCATCAATCATTTCTCTTTTCCAGTCTATGTTTATGTATAAACCATGCATTCTAATTTAATTTTACTGCAAACCCACACATCCTTATGGGAGCTTACAGAGCAGGCCCTCTTGTCGTATGAAATAAAATATGTTCCAGAAGATGTGCACAGAGAGGCAGCCAGAGCAATAGAAGGAAATAATGTATGGATTGTAGCATGGCCAGCCAATGGCTCCTTAGAGTGCGAGTTGAACAAATAAGGAGGAGGAGAAAAAGATAGGTTCCCAGGGAGAGAAACATAGGTTGTAGCTAGGTTTATTTATAAGTCTAAAGAGAGCTAAAAGGACGAAAAAGGAGAGATTGTGGACAAGACAGTCATTAACTGCTCTAACATCCCGACATCGCAGTTTAAAGAACCTAGATGAAGATCAGCGCTGGCATTTGATGAGCAGAAAATATATGACCAGACTTGTTTCTCGTGTATAATTGTGTGTGCATTTGTCTGACCCAAAGCCCCTCTGCGGCAGACACTCCAGGATGTCATAACAGAGGCTGAGCTGGTCGTCTCTCTCGCAGCTGTAGATGCACTCCAAAGCCACCTCCATCAGCTGGTCTGGATCTCCAATAATCTTCTGCTGGCTCTGGAGAAGACGACACAAGAGTCACTGTTTGCATTTGCATCAAGCCTGTCCTTACAGTTAATGTACAAATACATACTGAAGTACTGCATCAGTTACTTTATAAGTGCATTTAGGTGTGATTCATGCTTTTTAATAATGGAAGTGTGTCCGTGGCTGTGCCTGTTGGTGTTGTAACATTTACAATGCAGAATCAAAGCGTTGGTGTGGAAATCGCACCCACAGGCCATAATGTTTGTTTGTGTTTATGTAATACTAACATTAGGTTTGGAGTGCTGGAAGATGACGAGCGGCAGGGTGAGGTCCTGCTGTGCCAGGCCAACCAGGTACTTTGCGAGCAGAGATTTGGCTGCACCTGCCTTCTGTCCCTCACAGCGGTGCAGGAACGGCACCATCCACTGGAAGGCATCTTTCACGTAGCGCTCCGAGCTGGTCTGTAAACAGAAAGAAGTAGGCAAACATTTACCATTTGCAAACTCCTTAATGATAGGCCAAGAATCTCAAGAGAGGTCTGTTGAGAAGACATGAATAATATAAAAGGGAAAAACAAGTCAGTACACAAAGCAAGGCTGTGACACTCACAGAGCTAAACTTTCTGCGGTCCTCTGCACTTTTATTATTTTTATTTTACTGATCGAAGGTTTTTAAGTTACCGTATTTTTCGGACTATAAGGCGCATAAGGTGCAATTTCAACGAACACGTCTGTTTTCATACATAAGGCGCACTGGATTATAAGGTGCATTAAGCGAAACTAAAATATTTAGACAGATTTTTGAGCATTATGTACCACGTAAAATCAGTTTGAGGTCAGTAAGCACAACCAGAATTAATACATAAGGCGCACCTTATTATAAGGCTCACTGTTGATTTTGGAGAAAATTAAAGGATTTTAAGTGTGCCTTATTGTCCGAAAAATACAGTATTGTCAATAACTTAGAACAATGGTACAAGGGGAATAAATTTTGTTCTCATGTTTTTAACATGTTGAATGACAACAAACGACTAGATTACTGAACATTAGCTTTGGTTCAATTTACACCCATTTTGGAAAACTACATTTGTGAATTGAGAAAATGTCATTTGCTTCTGTCGATTAAAGTCCCTGTAACATCAAATATCTGTGTTAAATGTGAACGCGTTATTGGAAAGTTAACATTAATACCGAAAGAAAATATTAATTATTGCTGCCGAGACGAACAGTTGAAATATTTGCATGCACAGTAGCAGGAAGTGATGGCAAAGGAGAATGCCTACATGCAAACAGAGCATCGCTACAATGGCTGACACAGACAGTAGAGAAGAATCTGATGTTTCTTTAGATTACTTTGAGTCAATATCAGAGAGAGACCAAGAAGGGTCAGAGTTAAGATAATACAGTTTTAATAAATACAGACTAGGGTGGTCCCCTTTTTAAAGAGATTCCCTTTAATGTCACTTCCTGTTTCCCTTTGGCCGTGCCAAAATGGGTATAAAATGTTTTATTATATTTCTTAAATATTAAGATATTTTCTTCCACTTAGTGTATTTGTAAGAAATGCTTGTCACTTGGCACTTCAATTCATGACTGAGTGAATGAAACTGACATCAAGGTTGTTTGGAGCATGTGCGTCCGTACATGCGTGTGTGTGAGAGTGAGGGAGAGACTTTATCATGCTGCTGAAAGAAATGGATAAAATCAGGCGTCTCAGATTATGTGATCAAGAACTTCTTTGTGTAGTCACTGGGGAACATCTAAACATTTTGATATTTAGATTTATGCTTTGCATTTTGCAGACAGCACTTATTTGAAAGCTTGAACTATACGGTACAGTAAGTGGGTACTGCTGCAGTCTGCAAGGATGCATGTCAAGTGCAACCAAGGGCTTTGCACTCATCTTGTGACAACCCTGACTCATGACATACATGAGAAAGCATTCACAGAAAGCAAAAAAAAAAAAACTTGGGGGGAAAAAAAAATTACTCAGATGTTAAATGTGAGTTTGCACACCCACGCACAAACATTTTTACTCTGCTGTATTGTCTCTGTGAGAGAAAAAAAGACAGACACAAACGAAGAGGGAGATTTAATCTAAGCAGTTTGGTAAACATCCACAAACGTTCTCACACACACACACACACACACACACACACACACACACACACACACAC